CCTTCTTTAATACTTTTTTAGAAAAAATTAGAACAAGCAGCTCATATGTAGTTTTACGCCTTGCAAAATATACTATTCAGCAACTTAATTTTTATATTAACTTTATCGCAACACAACTAAAATTATACATTTGAAAGGCAATTTGCCAACAAATGTTATATTAGAGATTGTACATACAATATAGTAACTGTGATAAACTTGACTCGATATCAAATCAAAATAAAATATCAAAGTTATAAATTTATAAAATAATACTGTTATCACGTTCACTTTATAATGTATGTACATATGTATAAAATTAAATAAAAACTTTCAATCAATAACTGTTAAACCTTGATGTAAACGAAAACATTAGAATATTAATTTTATTTTCATTTCACATATTAAATACAATAATATATTTATGCATATAAATTTTAAATTTCATTGAAAATATTTTTATTTATGCACCCAATACAGTTAAAATTTTTTTGAATATATTTATATAATATTAATGTGCTTATAACGGGAAATTATTGTGCAAATTACAAAAAAAAAAAACTTTTTTTTAATATTTTTAGTGTTATTCCAAAAATAATCAGTTAAAAATTATGGTAGATATTGATAAAGAATGATTTGTTTAAAGGAATTCAACTATTAAAAGAAGCTTGCTTAATTTAATGACTGTCATTAATATTGTTTGGAAAAATAATTTCTTCATACCGATACACTCAAAACAAATAAATAAATTGATTCCAGAAATCCAGTCACAAAACGGACTTTGAATTATTTAACAAATTCAAGGATTCAACTTTTTATCATCTACATCAATATTTTATCTACAAAAAAAGTTAAAGAAAATAATTACTTTATTCGTTTTTCTAAAATGAAAAAATTTGTATTCATTCCAAAAATATAAACTGCACTAAGATATTTTAATTACCTATAAAAAAAATTACTGTAATCACCTTTTTATATCTTGTTTCATTAGTGCCTACAAAATTTATAATTTTTTTTAAAATTCAATTACAATATATTTAATTTCTATCTATAAAAATATTTTTTTTTATCAGTAATTTCAACTAACAACCTCCTCTTTACATTACACGCATATATAATCAGTATTGCATAAAATGAAATCGAATTCGAAAATTTGATTGTAGTTTGAAAATCTAAACTTTAAGAATATTAAAGGAAAGTAAAAGATTTTTGTTCTTTATAGGTACACGATTATGGTCATAAATCATAACCTTTCCTTACTGCAAGAACTCTGTATGCATGAGTTTTCTATTATACCGAATACAATTGAAAAGCTATCGCCCAAAATACTGTATATTTCTAAAATTAAAAAAAAAAAAATTATTTCTAAGAGCGTTTTACTTTTAAATCTCCTTTTGTAAAATTGCATTTTTTGAGATCCAGCCAAGAGCATATTTAAAAAGACAGAACCTTAAACAAATTCGAATACAATAAATATTAGAAATATTTTAAATAGATTTTAATAGGTGCAAAAATGTGTATAAGCACATAATCTCTTACTAAATTAATTATACTATAATAATTTTTAGAAAACTTAAAAATTGAGGATGTTATAAGTATTTCAAATATACATATTACAATCAATATTACTATATGAGTAACAGACTTTAAATGCAATTCAATCCAAAAGCTTTTTCAAGGAATTCAGAAAAATAAATTATTTACGTAACATAACTTCAAAATTCTATATAATGTACACTTAATTGCATATATCCATTCACTCACATATAATATGAAATGAACATTATTAGGTTATATTCGAAATATTTTTCCTGGTCTCAAATCATATGGTTTTATAAAAAATAAAAAAATAATCCTATCCAAACTAGAAAATTTTTCATTTCTTTTTATACTTAATAAAAATTTTGTTATCTCTTTTATTACAAGAAATTTTACTAGAAAACTTGGTAAACTTTAATTGTTGCATTAATCTTGTGATATATTGTACAGGTACATACACATACATATCTATATTTTATTATATTGTAAAATTTAAAATTATTTAAGCTAAAGCTGTACAGCAATTACAAATTTAAAAACTCGCCTCAAACTAACTAAAAAACAAAATAAAAATTAAAACAGAAAATTTAAAATTTAAACCAGTTTTTCTCGACTTGTCTCTAATAATAATCTCATTCAAATGCGTACAATTAAAATCAAACAAAAAGAAAATAAAATAATATAGAAATAGAAATTTAAATTGGAAAATGAAATTTTACATAACTAATAATCTGTTTTCAAAAATGAAAAACACGAAAGAATTTTAAAATAAAAGTTATAAGTAGTTTATCGTGCTTGAGAAATTTAATTGAGATCAACAAAACTCGGCTGACTCATTTTATTACTCAATCGCACTATTTGTACATGGCGTAAAAATTATAATACGAAGCGCCTTACAATGTACATATATGTATATATTATGGAAAAACAAAATTATTAACACATTTCTAAAACAAATTCAATTACATATTTTGAATATTGCTAAAATATTAATAATTCTACTTGGCTACTAATTTATTGCTGTTTTTTTTAATTTTTTTTTTCTTTTTGCATGTCATTTTAAATTATTCCAAGTTAAACAATTAAATATGATAATTAAAAATGATTTCAAATATATTTTGAGCATTATTTCTTGATTCAACTTATTAACATCAATTTGGATTGGTTTTGGTTGTCAATTTTAAATGGTCCAAAGAATATTGAAGCATGGGAATATGATTTTTATTTTTTACATTTTAGTTTATAACTTATAGGTACAAGTATAAAATTAGAATATAAAATAAGAGAGGTTGATGACTAAAATTAAGAGTCTTACTGTTAAGATTAAAAGAAATTTCCATTTTGACAAAAGTTATTAACAATACAATTGAATATCAATTGACCAATTTGCTGTAAAATGTAAAATACAGAATAATTAACATTTTTTGGTGTACCTAATCATTATTAGTGAAATTTACGTTAAAATAGTACATCTAGACTGGTCAACCCAAATATACTTATGCAACATGTAGTACAATTGCAAGAACCAGGCCGTTGTTCTATTTTAAATATTGGTTTGCTTAACCGTTCTACTAACAGCTACATAGTTAGATCTACTAAAACATTTATAGTTGTATGTAAGATGGACATATACATGCACGTACTTACCTGTTGTTAAACTTAACACTAAGTTTTACAGGCACTGAATTTTAAAAGATCCATTTTTTTTAAAATTTGTTGATTGACCTCAAAATAATTTGGACTTCTTAGAATATGCTGTGAATTCGTTCATGTTGTCGATAGTTTCAATTGTATTGGTGCTCTTCAAGTTTTCTTCATGGTCAAAAGCTGTATATTATAAAGTTAAGGAAACGCTTTATATTTAGTACCATGACTGTTATTTTCCTGCTTTAACTCTTCTTTTTGGAATTGTAGAATACAATAAGAAATTCCGTATTTATATTTTACCAATTGTGATCAAATATACAAAAAATTTGTACTTATATTGCATTGTTAACTATGTGAAATTGAATTAAATAAATTAACTGTAAAAAATTAATTTCTAATAAATTTCAAAATTTTTTTTTAAAAAGTGACAGTATACAATGACGTTGCAACAAATTGTTTAATGTGTTGCCGTTTATGTGGCACATTTGGAAATTTGAAAAAACATATGAAGTGAAAGTCTCATAAATTTACCACACATTGTTACATTTTTATTTCGCATCGCTTCGTAACTACATACTATACACAAAATTAATCATTTAAGTAGAACAAACAGTTTTGTTTTTTATTTTGTTTTTATTTAACTTCCTAACACAATTTTCATATTTCCTCTTGCAATATTTATTCTACATTTAAAAGTTTAGAAAAAAACTGACAGAGGATAACTAATCTCGATATTTTATTTTTTCCTTGACAGCCTTAATTAAAAACAATCATTTTCTCTTAATTGCTAGGTGCTTCAAATATAACCTATCAATACTGTCCCATTTTAATTAACTAGAGCGTTTATTCATTTGCATTTTATATTTTATGTAATTCACAATATTGCAAAGTGTACAAATTATTAACCTAGTTTTTCTTTAAATTTCCTTATGATTTCAATTATTTGAAAAATTACTATTAAAACGGTGAAAAAATAATATATTTAAAACATTCAAGTAATTTTCGAACAATTTATCGTATTTTTATTCGCGTCTAACTTTTTGACAATATGCTTTGACTTTCTTTATGTCAATTTTGAACCAATAATTTTTTGATTAAGGTATTTTTCTCTTGTAAAAATTATTGAAAAAAATTGTAAGAGAAGCGATTACGTAACATATTTCTCTTAATTTTGTGTAGTCACATTTCTAATCTAGAAAACTTTTCTCTATAATGCGTTGTTATAAATTAAAATTTTATAACAGACTTTGTATAATATGTAGGATTGCCGTAAGAAAATTAAATATAGTGAGCTAGCACCTCAAACTGCAAATTTGAAACTGCAAAAAAAATAGCTTCTGGGTTATTAAATGAAATCGCCCACAATAAAACTGCAACTTCAAAATTAGTTAATTTTCTATTTTTGCAGATGCTGTCTTTCATATTTTACTAATTTTGACGGTATTATTTATTCCATATTTCTTTTTTTTAGTATGATATTGTATATTGTTGCCACAGTCTTATTGTGTTTCATAAAGCGTAGAAGCCTAAAATTTTTGCAGTTATCAAATTTGAAGTGCGGCCTCATTGTGTTTACGCATAAAGAATTTTTTTTTTTAACAAAATGTTTGACAATCCACATTTTAATTTTTCAAACTTAGACGGTAAAACAAATTTACATCATTCTAATACAACAATTTTCTTATAAATAGAAAAATCAAGTTAATCGTTATTTTACATTATTTTTATTACTCTTAAATTTTTCATGTAATATTCTACAGCATTTTAATAACCTGAAGCGCAAATTTTATAAGGAAGTGTAACACTAAAAAATAAAAAAAATAATTTTCTAAAAGTGTACCAAACGTAACATGGTTGTCATATTTTATTCGAATGGATGGAAAAACAGCGGTCCAATCCAGCTATAGATATGTACATATGAATATACATACATACATATGTATATTATAGAAAAAAATTACACTAAGTTGAGGTAAGAAACTTTGTTACCAATTTCTTTCATTATAAACATTGAAGATTTTTAAAAAAGAATTACAATATGGACTCATTTAGGATTTACAAAAGTATTTAATTTATTTAAGAAGAAATCCGGTGTATCATCTGCTATTTTCCATATCTAATATAAATTTTTTAAAAAAAGGAAAAGAGTAAGCACAGTACAAAAAATAATGTAGAAAACAATAAATGCAAGTGAAGGGAAGTGAGACTTAAAGGAAGCCTTTCTAGAAAGTGTTTCTTTTAAAGCCATTCAAAAGTATAATTTCCCATTTAAGACCAGTACTTTTATTTTCCAGCAACATTTCAGCAATACTGAATATTTTTTTTAATATTTAAGGGCAAAATCCAAATTTTGCAAATTTTTAATAACTCTTGCTTTTGATTCAGATAATTCAGATAACCAGTTTAAACGAATTTATACCCAGTTTAAAATACACACATTCATGTTATGTATCTTGCTTTGCTTCTAAATCAATTTTTTTTTAGAATTTGCTTTCAAATCTGATAATTCTAATTTAAAAGAACATAAGAAACATTATACAATATCAAAGTACTCTAAAACAGACAGTCTTATAAAATTATTAAATATTTCAATATTTAATTGAAATTTATGAATAATATTGTAAGAATTTTATGTAATATTGTATATTATGTACAAAGAAATAAACTAAAAATTTATATTATATACCTATACATATAATTAAATATATATAGGTGTAATTGAAATAACATAGATACCTACCTAAAACCAATTTGGTGGGAAGAAAAATTAATAGTTTTTCTTAGTTTTTCTTAGTTAAAAAAAAATTTTTTTTTTATCTTAAAAACTGGTCCAATATTTTTTTAATAGTTTAATGTTATATCACCTGAAATAAATTTATGCATACATATATATATGTACATTCATAATACATATATTTAATAAATATATGAATCAGCTGTAAATATATATGAACACATATATTGCATATACACATATATATGTCTATATATATGTATATAAGCATAAAAAAATGCAGCAATCTAAATCCAATATAAAAATTGCAATGCACTTTAATTACACATATTATAACTTGTACATTATATTAGCTATTATTATATATACTATGTATGTAGATATATCGATTATAAAATTAATATGCTATTTAAAATGAGGTTATGTAAAAGTAAAAATAAAAAAGAGCTTTTTTTTTATAAATTATTAATTTAATAATTTGTTTTTATTTTATTTATTCACATATTTTATATAAATATATAGAGTTTTGTTTATTAATATTATAAATTAATGTTAAAATGTTTTTATTATATTACAAATTATTTATTTTAATTTGTATAAATTTTTGAATTAATGTTAATAATATTAAAATTAAATAGGTAATTTTATTTTAAACAATTTTAATTAATTATTAAAATTATGAAAAACTATTCATAATGTATGTTAATTATGCATCATATTATTTTTCCATTATTATAAAATTATTTAAGTATTTTATTATTTTAATTATATTTTTTAAGTATTATAAAATTATTTTATTATTTTAATTAATTTATATTATTTAAATTCAAAATTCTCCGTTTATAATATTAAATTATTATTATTATTATCTCTTTGCACTTAAAACACTCAATTCCATATTGTTATACTGTTATAATCCAAATAATTTTCATTAAAAATAGTAAATTGTAAAAGCCCTACACTATAATTTTTGTAATTATTTCAAAAATGCTTACAATAATTCCCAAATTTGGATCAAATTAAATAGATACAAAGATAAAAACAAATTAAAAAGTTTATTATTAATAATAATTATGAAAAAAAAAATTAATAATATTGCCTAATTATGGTTCAATTTACACAAAAGTATTAGGGCAATATTTAATAAAATAGTTATAAAATTATTAAAAAAAACTACTTTTATTTTGTGTTTTTAACTTTTTTTTATAAATTTCACGCAATTTTATTTAATAATAAATTTTTTTCGAATTTTTTTTTTATATTATATCTGTTGTAACTAATAATCGATTTCTTAATTGGACTACAATATTTTTATTAATTTTTATAATAAAATCCGAATAATGGTAAATTTCAATTTTTAAAAATTGAAAAAAAAAAATGTATTAAAAAAAAACCACAAATAAATTTACTGTTAAAGTATTGGTATTTAAAATGTCAGTTAAGTAGAAAAACGAAAAAATTATAATTTTAATTTTTTTTAATATTTTTTTTTTTCTTTACAGAATTAAAATATTAGACCAACATAACAAAACAGCGTACCAAACCGAACTAAATTTTTATTATTGAAAAAATTTTTCCTATAGTTTTTTAAATGATGGTTTTTGTGTTAGCAAAGTAGTAAAAAATAGTAAGCAGAAAATAATAATAGTAAGAAAAAAATAAAATGAAAAAGAAATATACAAAATGAGTGAAGTAAAAAAAAAGCGAATAAGAAAACAAAAAAATTATACAGAAATCAAAGGTAAGTTGCAAAAGTTTACATTTCAATCTTAAACGCTAGCACCTAAACATTCTGTTATAGTATTTTACGCTTTATATACATATATATGTATATACGTTTATATGTGTGTATTTAACCATTTTAAAAGCATATTTAATATAAGAAAAAGTATAAATAAAAAGTTTAGGTGATTTTTGTTTTATTTTTATAAAACTTTCTTCAAAATATTGTTATTCGGTAGTGTGTATAATATTATTGAAATTAATTTATTAAAAAATGAAAATTATTAATAAAATAAAATATCATTTTTATTTTATATACATAGGTATATGTGAATTTCTTTATGTATATACATACATGTATATGGTATAATTTGTTGATAATCCACGGATGTATATAAAATAAAATGTGTATTATACATGAATGTAAGATATTTTATTAGCATTTCATATTTTTACTTCAATTGCACGATAAATAATTAATATATGGTTCAAAATGCATCACATATTGAAAAGAGTTTTTTTTTTTTACTGATATCAGGCTTAAATAGGTTAACATTGATAGAAAAGAAATATGTCCATAATTTTGTTATAGTGGAAATTAATTTGTCCTTGAGTCTCCATATAGAATTTCTATATTGCAAAATAAAACTGAAGATTTATAAAATTTATATTAAATTAAAAGGATCTCTAATATAATAATTAACAAAAATTGTAAAAAATTAAGTAATTTAAATTAAATTTTTTAAATAAATTTTGAAATGATTTCAATTTTAATCCATGAAATACAATGTTATTCTCTTTCGCTTCGCCGCAAACTATGCAATTAATTACAAATTTTTTACTTGTATGTATTTGGTACGAGTCTTGTCATTCTACACTTCTACAGCTACGTACTTTCGTATACACCAAATTTGTTTGACGAATATTAATTATGAATGGAAACAATGTTATCAAGAAACTTTCTTTTAATTCCTCTTTATAAATTTATACGATAAAAACTTTTTTATTAATCAAAAAATTTACCTAGCAAAAAAAAATTTTTAAAATTGCAGATAAAAAAAATTTACGTGCTTTATTACAATTTTCAATTCAGTGGGTTCAATCATTATCGAAAATTTTTGTTTTCTATATAAATAAATATACATAAGTAGACATACATACATATAAGTTTCAAACGGAATGGTTAAATATCTGTCAATTATTGCAGATAGCATGAAAACAAAAACAATAACAAAACAGTTAAATAAATAAACTATAGAGCAATATATAAGAATGTATATGTAATTATAAAGAAAATAAAAAAAAGAAAACGAATTTAGATCTTTTCAACGTTTAACAGTTAACCGGTAACATATTGTGTGATTGCCTCGTCGGCAAACATTTAAAATTCAAGAAATTGACCAATATTTTACTTTTTTTCAGTGATATTTGGTTGAGTCATTAAATATTTTTGTAAAATTTACTATTTACAATAAAAATTTCTTTGATGTTAATTTTTTCATTGTTTTTAAAAATTAATAATTATGTTTGATGCCACACGATTAAATATTAAATACAGATGAGATGCACACATACATGCATATGTGTAAATATACCAGAAAATTTTAAAATTATTATCTGGGGCAGTAATTGTAATTGCAAGATAATAAAAAAATTTTAATAAATTTAACAATATGCGTTATAATTTTTTTTTGAATTTGTTGTATTAAAAATGAATGGTTTTGTGTCAAATACCTAATTTTTTTAAGACACTATTATATAAGTAATATTGTAATTGAAAATTAGGAAAAATTTAGAAAATTTGAACTTCGGTTTTGTTTAAAAAAAATTTAGGAATCCTAGAATTTAATTTTTTAATTTGCACTACATATATTAAGAATTAATCATTTGACATAAAATTTCCATAAACAAAACCGAAAAATTTCTGCCCAATAACTTTTAATTTGTAGCATAGTCAATTATCAATCAAAACTGTCTTTCCCATCTGCATCGACATTTATAACGTTATAATGAAAGTTGTCATTGAAAAAAGCTTTGTATTTTTTAATAAAATCCTTGAAATTTTTATTTATTCAAAACTTTTGAAAAAAAATCAAATTGCAAATATTGTATAGCATTTTGAGATAAAATCAAATATCAATAATATTATAATAAAGATTTTATTAATTACTAATATTTTTATGTCATCTGAAGTTGATTAGCAAACAATATGTAAAAGTTTATAAACAATTAAATGACACATAAAATGTTATATATGTATGTAAATTATAAAAAAAAAATAACATTTTCTTTTATTAATATTTTTTTTAATACAATCATCATATATAGCTTATTTGAATTTGCAATTCTTATACGAGTATAAATTTTAATAAATTTATTGCGTTCAAAACTATTGAATAGAAATTTTATGATTTATGTTGGCACACTGACCAATTTATTTGCAAAATTTTGTAAAATTTATTTGAAATTATGTTTTCAAATATGCAACATAGATATTATGAAATTTTGCGTATAATTATGCGTATACGAATTTAAAACCTTTTAAACTCAAAAAAAAAATTCGAATCAAAATGATAAATGAAATTTCAGTGTAAATTCAAGTTCCAATTAAAAATATTCAAATTACCGGGTGACAATTTAATTTTTCTCGCTGTATCAAATAATTTGCAATTTGATTTCGGCTTCAGTTGTGTATACGTTTACAGAATCAATTAACAAAGATTATGTTAGATTAAATTATATTGCAGAATGGTGGCGGTGACGCACCGCGACCTAAAAGATCTATTGTGCTCTCCACCACGAGCGCCCGGTGTCCCACCTAGAGCATGCCCTCGAAACCCCACACCCTTGATGGATCCGAGCAACTTTTCCGTAGAGATGTCCTACAACGGTATACCCACCAAGATTATTTTAGAAATTTTCTTAATATTTCCTGACGTAACACAAAAAAATAATTGCTATGCAAATTTATTACATATTATTACAATTATTTATGTACACTAAAAATACTAACCTTAGTATATACGAGTATATCGCATTATATCATATCTTATAAAATTTTTATTTAAATATCGTAAAAACTTACACATAAGTTGTTTTTACTCCAAATATTATTTTCTAGAAAAAAAACTCCAACAATAAAAAATTTCAATTTTTACTTTTTTAACAATACCTAATTATTAAAACCTAATTACGGTCATCATAGGTATATAATTAAGCTATAATCTTTTTTATATAAATCTACTTAAAATATGTCATAAAATATTCAATCTGAGTCAATTAACTTGACAAATCAAATTTATATTAAAGACATTTCAACAATGGTACAACGGTAAAATCGCAGCTACAACAATGAATCATAAATCATTTTCATTAAATTTTTGTATATACAAGATGTATAAAATGTAATTAATTTACCGTTTATGTTTTAACTTTTCATTATTTATTTTTTATTTATCTTATGAAAATTGTAATAATTAATTATTAAAAATATATAAATTTACTGAATTATCGATTTTCTTTTTATTGTAATAAAATATAGGAATAACAATTAAATGCATTACAACATGTAGAAATTTTCATGTTTTGTTATTTCTATAAAATCAAAAGTTTTCATTTTCTTAAATGACATTACGTTGCAGCAGGAAATTATTGAAAATTGATTTTAAAGTTTGTTACATAAAATTGTAAAATTGTGGGAATAACAATTGGTTACGTTATAATTTTTGTATGTTTGCCAATATTACGAATGACAATTTGTTAAATGACAATAAATAATATATGTATATAGTGCATTGAAGGGTAGATCCTGTAATTTTTCAATGTACGAATTGTAATTACAATTTAAATATGTAATAATGCAGTATGTGTTGTGTTAGTAACTTGTGCGTTTATATTGCATAAAAATTGAACCAATATATTATGATTTGGAAAAATGTAAGAGGATATTATTTAAATTTTTCTTATTTCTTTCTTATCATTGAAAGTTTTCGAAATTTAATGTAATATAAGTTTGTATTAACAGTATCTTAATGCACTATTTAAATATAGTTTTTTTTTAAAACGATTTCTAACACAAGATTTAATACGTGTAATATTATGGTATACTTATGTATGTGTGTATTGAAAATATTTGGTAATATATTTTTGCAAACTATAATTAACAAGCGTTTATTTCAAATGATTTTATTTTTATATAAATAAAAGAAGATTTAAAATTACAAATGGGCCGATTAATGTTAATTGAAAGATTTGTTACTTTTCTTTTTGTATTTTAGATATAGGTACGATCATATTGTATCATAAATAATAATTTCTAATGATTATTTCGTGTTATATGAATAGTCTTTTTATAAAAACTTTACTAATTTCAATAATATTTTTTTGTCTTTTATACATCTGCATGTATCTTATGGAAACATTGTATGATAATTGGCAATTTAATGTTTTATATTTAAAAAAATAAATACTTTTTAATTATAATACACTGATTACTAATTCTCACACATCATTGATATAATGATGACTGTAAAGTATTCAATTAGTGTATATTGCAGGAAATTGCATGTTTTATAAATAAAGGAAGTAATTGATTTTAAAAATTCGTTTAAGAAAATAATTTACAATTAAAAAATAAGTACAGGATTGATCTTTTAACTTGCTATTTTAAAAATGAGATCTCATCCAAAATATCATCTTGTTCATAACTTTAAAATCTGGATCGTTTACCAAAAATCGCACTTACCAAAATTTACTAATGAAACAAATTTTAAATTAATCTTAATTTTAAAACAATAATGTTTTCAATTTGAAAATATTTAAATTTACTTAATTAAGAAATAATTATATACGTAAATAATTTCAATATACTTTATAAAAATATGCAAATCAGCTGACATTCCTGTTATTTTCTCATTAAACCGATTCCATAAGTAATTTATAAATGATTCATTTATTTAACGTAAAATAATACTTATTAAATAAGCATATTTATAAGATTTATATATTGACATTTTTCTCAAGTGCTAATTTTTCTTCATAAGTATCTAGTTTTATTTAACCAACAAAAAATATTATATAAATATATAGTTATGACCTTAAACTTGACTGTACTATGAACCTAATAAGCAGTAAATATTCTATTATTTATTATGAAAATAGAAAAAAAAATCAATTTTAAATGAATGTGCGAAATTTTATAAAAAAAAATTTTTATTTTTGTGGGTACATACATAACTATTTAATGTTTCATATACTAACATATATATATATTAAATTCAGTGTTTGAATTTATTGCAAAAAAAAAAATAAGTTTCTTCATTTTACTTAATGTTTCGACAAAGTAGTGTTAGTATTTACTTTAAAAAACTGTTTGTTATTAAAACTAATAATATAAGATAAATATTTTCACATTCCTATAATAAATTAATTATTTTTAGAATTTTATCTAAAGAAAAATTTTGGATATAAATTGTACATTAAAAAAAATTTTGTTTGTAATAAGGTATATAACTAAATTGGTAAACAAATATTTTATTATGCGTCTAAATGTGGTGGAAAGTGTTGAGTTTAACACCTAACAAATATAGTAGCTATTATTTTTGTCAATTATAGATTTTAATTAAAGTAAATTTTTCTATATTTTTTTTGGAATAAAAAAGTTGATGTATTAAATCTTAAAAAATATTGACAAATTTCATATATTATTCAAGATAAAAATTCTTGTGTAAAAATATTATAAAATATCAGTTATAGTTATTGCTATCCAAATGATATTTGTTATGAATCAACTATAATTAAAATTAATTCGGAATATTAATATTGTCTATGTCGTAGAATATTTTATTTAAAAAGGGTCTAGAACATTTACTTTAACTAAATGCGTTTAAAATTTTTAAACATTAAAATAAAATTCATTTAAAAACTTGATTCATTCAAATTAGTTAAATTTCATTTTAATTTCTTTTAATTACATTTTAATTTAACCAATTTGAATTGATCAGCTTAATATTTTTTTCTTAATAATTTTTATTATACTAATTTGTATCTATTTATATAAAAAGAATTAATTATATTAACAGTATAAAAAAAATATACAAAATATAAAAAAAAATAGAGTATATATATACACATATACATATGTACACATATATATAGCTGCAATTTCTAAAAAAAATAACATTCATACTAAAATTTTCCTATTTGGTATACTATATGTTCTATAATTAATGAAAACTTAAATTTTAATGAAATTCTTTATATAAATCAAAATCAAATTATACAAAATATACAAAAAAAAAAACATTATTATAAAAATTTATAATAAATTCATTTTGTTTATTTTATTTTTTCTTCATTTTTTCACTTTCATTTTCAATTAAATTAAACCCTTAAAAAATTATAATGCCATTATACAAAAAAAAAAAGTAACAAACAAAAATCAATTCTACATTTGATTGCATTTTAATTAAATTATACGAATAAAATATAAAATGCAATTTCTGGTACAATACCTAATTTATTATTTAAGGGAATTTTTAAATTACATTTGACTTTGGTTTATTTTTCTATCTTTTAATGCTTAGATATTATAAGTATGGTTTTTAAAATCAAAATTTTCAAAAATAAAATTTTGTTATGCTTAACTTATAAATATAAAACCGAAAATATTTGTTTTTAAATTTTATAATATTGTATTAAAAATTTTTATTTCAATTAATAATAAAGTTCATTTTATTTTTCAGATTTAAGTGATTTATCAGATTTTAACAATTTCACAGCGCTATAATGGAACTCGAACTAACAAAAATGGAACTATCATAAAATAACTATCATAAGCTGACTCTAGTTGGACATTTTTTTAAATTGATTAGAATTTTTTCTGTAGGATTTTATAAAAATTTCAATCGGTAACAAATAATAAAATATCACTTAATTTGTTTGTGAATGCAAAATATTTAAATTTTCAATAAATAGCATTTTTTATATATGATTGTGCATATAACAACATAATTTATACAAAACTCTGAAAGAAAGAACATATTATATTAATTAGTTTAAATTCCTTTGATTAAATATTCCTTCTTTTAATCAATTATAATTAATTATTCTTAAAAAATTAAAATTATTCTCTGAATTTACTTTTTCTTGCCTATATTTTTTTATTTTTTCTTCTGCTATTTTATTTTTCTTAAAAATTATCAGATTCATTTCTTAATTCGCAATTTTTATATGCGAGTTCTTTATTATTGAGTATTTATTTTACTGTGTTTATATTTTATTTACTAACAAATCTTTATACGAAACCCTACAGTATTTTAATATTTTCTAATTTAAGTTTTAAATTTTTCAAATTACAAATTAGTTTCCCGGTTTCATATAACTTAAAAAAAATTTCTTTTACACTATCAGCACCTATCAGTATAACTTTAACAATATATAAAAATACAATTTATTTTTATTTTCAAAACCTTATTCTTAAATACTAAGAGGAATTTCTGTATTTATTGTGTCATTTGTTTTCCTCTTTTTAAGAGATTTCATTTCATTATTAGAAACTGTTAAATTTCGTCTTTTTAAATTTTTTTCACGGAATTTTCCCAAATAATATACTCCAGCAACAAGTAATGCCAATGTTGTAACACAAATTAATAATGTACCATATTTTAATGCATATTGTATGGCATTTGCACTAAATGTACTATGGAAAATTAATGTTTGTAATTCTTCATTAAGTTCACCTTGTGTTATTTCTAACCATAATATTGGTAAAATTATACCTTCATCCATACGTTTTAATTCCCCTAAAAAAGATGTTATTAATTAATTAAAATATTCATAAGAAATTTACATTATTATTTAAAAAAAAACTTACTATCTAATAAATCTTGTTTATGTAATTGAATATTTATTTGAATTCTAGATGCTCCACCAATTGGAAATGCTAATCTTGGATGAATATCAGCAAATGTTTGATGTAATTCCTTTTGTGGTTTAATACCTTCAAATTTTTCATATAATTTTGGATCACCAGAAAAGAAATGTGGAAATGAGGGAAATATTGGAGCATCATCATAACATAATGTACCATCAAATACACCACTCAATGGACATTTTCCTAAACTGCAATAACATTGATTTGCGGAATTGTCATCATCATATGATAAAACATTTAAAGGAGTTCTATAGCGCCATGCTTTTGCAAATGTATGAAATATATCAATTTCTTCATCAAATTCTAATGGAATTTTACGACAGAATGCTGGTAAAAATACATGTAATCTTTCTTTGTTCTCCATTAAGTGTGGTGGAAATTGTGATCCGTCTGTACCATCAATTCTATTACATTCATTAGTACGCCAATAATTTAATTTTGTTAAACCATTAAATTGTTGTATAACAGCTAAATTTTGTAATCCATCTTCTCCTGTTTTTATTTGAAATGTATCTGGACTAGTACCGTTTCTCTAAAAACAAAAAAAAAGCAAAATACAAATTTATTATTAATCACATTTTTCACTAAGTAAGATTGAAAATATTGAAAGAAATGTCCTTCTCCTAAATATATGCAATATTTAAATATAATATTTAAGATATATGAAACAAAATAAAAGTTTTTGCCATTGCCGGACTATCAAAGCTAAAATAGCTTTTTATTTTAGTATTTAACGGTATTTTGGTATGAGTGTTGCAATAAAAAATTTAAGTTTGAAAAATTAAAAGCTAAGAAAGGTAACGTGCCTACTTTTAAACATTAACGGAATTTGATATTTTTAAATTAATTTTAAATCTTTCGTTTTATTTTTTAGGCTGACTGTCATGCAATAAACAATTATATATAAAATTTTAAAAAAACTCAAAGATAATCTGTGAATCATGAACTTACAGTCATTAACATTCCAAAAGTATTGCGACTTGATGATCCAAACATATTCTTTAATTTAATTATTTCATCTGCATAGCCCCATAATATTTCGGCAGCACTTTTAGCATGAAATGGGCTACGTGATGCTGATCTGATTGCTGTAATTTTAATTGTTTTTTCAAAATAACTCATTGATTTAACTTTATATGCAGCTGTTATTAATGGTACATTTGGTGTTACAATTTTATCCCATTCGAAACCATTTGAAAAATCCGGAAGAAAAGTATAATCTCTATGATCCTAAAACAAATTCAATTTAAAATATAAATATTTTAGTATCAGAATCAAAAATTCAAACAAAATAACAACATACTTTATATGTCACTGTAAAATTTGTATTAAAAACTACATTCTTTTTTGTACAATGCTCATTATATGTGTATGGTCCTAAATCATCAACATGTATTTTATCAGCTCTTCCATTTAAATAGTCATCAATATTTGTATAATTAAATATATGAACTTTTAAATGTGGGCTTACAGGTGGATCTGCCCAATATTGTGCTGCTATTGATCCATTTGATAATATTAATTTCTAAAAAGAAAAAAAATATAAAAAAAATTTTGAAATATTTGTATACAAAAGTAAAAATTCAGAACTTACAGATGTATATTGACTATCATAAACTTCTGTAAACCACATTATCACAAATCCAGTAACACTAATTATAAAAAGAATCACAACTAGTCCTAATACTATAATGAAGAAAAAAAGAAAAACAAAATTGCATATTATTAAAAAAATTTTTAGAAATACATTTTTAGAAGAAGTTATTCTATTTACTATTTACATTTCAATAAAAACAATATGTGTGTATTTTATTTAATAAATTCCAAACTCAAATATTTCAATACTTTTATCATACTCAAAAATATTAAATTCAAAAGTCTTCAAATAATTTTAAACAATAAAAAAAAATTAGTGTAAAAATCATTCCAATCAAAAAAATTGCTTGAATGTTAATTGTCATGCTTGACATTTTACTGACAATCTTCAAAATTTTTTTGTTTACCCAACATTTTTTAATACATACCCATACATGTATGATTACAAGAATAAAATTAATAAAAGAATGAATGCAATGCAAAATATTTTAATCAAATTCGAAAAACAATAATGCATTTATTAACGTAAAAAAAATATACAAAAAAAAAAAACAAAATAATGTCAAAAATGCCATAAAATTGCAAGAGCATTAAAATTTTTATTTAAATTTTTAATTAATTTAGTAATTAAAATAAAGTAGAATTATAAGAAGAAATTATTCAAATTAAATTGTAAAATAAATAATTAAAATGTTATGGAATTTAGAACAAAAATATTTTCGAAAAATCATTCAAAAAATCTAAATTATTTTTCAATTTAAAATTACATTCTCCATTAGAAAGCATGGTATTTTAAATTAAATAACATTTAAGTTTATTTTCTGGAATTTATTTTAATATTATAGAGCGTATATACGTAGTTTAAATTAAATAACTAAACTTGTTTGCAATTTTTTTTATGATCAATTTTATAATAATAGCAAAAACCATAGTGAAAAACGCCATAATCTTATCAAATATTTTTAAGTAAAAAGATCAGGCAGAAAGCACGCGTTTTCTATCGTCCATCGAACTTCACCAACATACACTTATTTTATTTTTTTAAGAAAATAAAATAAAGGTTATCGAGGAGAATTTCTTTATATTCTAAAAAAAAAAAAAGTGATGTTGAAATCTAAGTTTTTTTTTGTGTTTTTTTAGAGGAAGTAAGTAATGAATTGTTGTATAGGGAAAAAAATTTTATTTGCGTTTTTCAATTTCATAATATTTATTGATAATAAAAATAAATATATATAAAATGATAATAATTCATTTAATTATATTTCAAAAAAAAAAGACAACCCAGCAAAACAAAAAAAAAAGAGTTTAAATAGCAATGATCGGATTAAATAGTTTAATAGATTTTAAAAGTTTTCGAAAATTTTTTTTTTATAATTGTTGCTAACTGATATATAAAATAGAAAATTTTAATTAAATTTATTTTCAATTAGATTTTATTTAATTATTAATACTCGTAATTAGAAATTTTATAACATTTTAAATAATTATTAAAGCATAGACCTAAACAATCATGAACGTATTACGTATGGTGCTCAGGAAATTCATATAAGAGTTAATTATCAATTGGTTATCAGTTAATTATCTTTTTAATTGAGCAATACAAAAATCCAAATTTGTTTCGTAAAAAAAAGAAAAACTTAATTTATTTATATAACATTTTTATATTTAATAAATATAAAAATGTTATGAATAATAACATAAAAATGTTTTATGTTTATATAGATTTATACAATCCTCAATAATTCTCTCAAATAAGTGTAATATTATTAAAACCTCATTCCAATTAAAATTAACTACATGATTCTAGTTATAAACTTTTAAGTTTAAATTGTCACGTTTAGAAAAAAATTTAGATTGAATTAATGCAGAATGACTTATTTATTTTCAACCTTCTCCTTAAAAAATTGATTTTATTAACAGTGTAAAGGTTGATTTTCGATAAGTTAATCATGTGCTGAAAGTTCTAAATTAAATTTTTTTGTTGTAGCTATAATATTTTTGCAGTAGTTATACAAACAAAAACCTAAAAATTATTTTAAAACTTTAAGCACAACACTGTTATTTTCGATCATACTACTTTTGCAGATTTTGCGGTTTGGATTTATCGAAAGTGCTTTATATTCAAAGATGTAAATTAGAATTTAATTATTATTAAAAATCTATTCACGAAATTGTCTACTTGCACTATAATAGTTTGAATTTATTCTAATTTCCATAATAGATTTTAATAATAAAATAATTTTGATTCAATTTTTTAATATTATTAAAAATAATTATTTTAAATTATATTTAATACAATATAAATAGTGTTCTCAAAAATAATGAACATAGAAATATTGATATTCTTTTACTATCTTTTGAATACTTATAAGTATACACAAAATATAATTTTATGATCTTGTTATATTAAGTAATATGTAAGTTCATTGTGGTTGGTTACCACCATAATATTTACAAAAAATAAAAATCAGAATTAAAATTTAAATTTATTAAATTGCAAATTTACTTTAATCAATTCTAGGTCAATTAAAATAAAATTTATACTGATTAAATGAGCGCTTGATTCTTATTTAAATGATTTTAATTCTAATCTCGGTTCAAATAATGTTAATGAACTTCGAATTCCTTTTACTTCTATGTTTAAGCTTGTAATATGTACATATATGTATACACTTATCTTATCGCATATAAGTTTCTCTTATTTTATTCTGATTTCTGCAAATAAATATTCTTACACTATTGTATATATTAAATATACACTATGTATATTTTTGATAAGAATAATTTTTGATGCTTTTAATATTTTTAATATGCTTTTTAATTATTTATAATTTTTCCACGCTAAAATATTTTATTCTATCGCATTACATTTAATAATAATAATTTTAATTAAATTTTGTTTTATTTTGTAGAAATATTTGCAAAAAACAACAAGTCTGTAAACACTGTCTGTTAAAAGGAGAAGAATTTGCCAGCTACAAACCATCTGCAAGGAGAACTAAAGATCGATTTAAATTTTAAACGTAGTATTTGTTAACAATTTTGTATAATTTATTTATACATATTAAAAATGTAATTTAAATTTATATCATATTGAATTTTAGAGAAATTTAAGCTTCTTGAAAGTATTTTGTTTAATTTAGTTAAGTATGTTAAACTCATAAATATGATCATATGCTTTACAGTTCAAATAGAAGTTGAATATTTGAAATTTTGATAACAAAACACAATATATTCCTTAACAAGGACATTTAATAATTTAATTTAATTTGATATTTTATTATAATCTATAAATGTTCTACTTTATTCATTAACAATTTAACATTGTACTAAGAATTACAACTTAACATATGTATAAAATTTTTAAGGAAAACAGAGTTTTATCAGTCAAATATACGTAAATACGTATATTATACATATTACAAGTAAATTAAAAAAAATTAAATTTGTTGTTTTTAAAGTTATACGTACATATATACCTATGTAATAGAATAATATAATATTTATATATAGCTACTTACAAGACGAACAAATCATGTACAAATATTAATTGTTATATTTTAATAATAATGTACGTGCATATTGATTTAAATTCTAATCTTTTAAAATATTAAAAAAAAAAAAATCTTCTTTATCCGATGAACTTGAACGACTTTTCAATATTTTTATAATACATTGTATTGTATGTACTGTATAGATGCAGATATATAAAAGTTTTTACAAAGGTTTTTGAAAATTTGTTGGAATAAATATTCTTTATTTGAATTTCAAATTTATTAAGAATACAATAAAGGCAAAAACCATATCAAATAATTATCATTTAAACAGACTTATGTTTCAAATATATACAAGTATGTACATATATATACATAGGTATATGAAATATACAATAACTAAAATTTGATTAAAATGTCAATTAATATTTATGATTATAAAAAACAATATCGGATCAAAAGATTTTTGAATTGTCAAATGAAATTTGATTGGATTACGAAATTTTTGAATTAGGAAATTTAGACATATACATAGATATGTATGTACATAAATAAGAAGTAAAAAAAACATATGTATACGAAAGACAACCAAATTTTACATGAATTATAAAGAACTTTACTATTAAATTTTTGAAAAATTTCATATAAATTTTAAATTTATATTAATATAACATCCCCTTAATTAATAATTATGTAAATCGTAACCTTCCAATTCCAATCTTAAATAATTTATTTTATTTAAATAAAAAATAATTTGTAATTAAAATTTAATGAAAATTTTTAAAGAGAGTAGTTTTGAAATTCAACAACTAAACAATTAAATTTCCATCTAATATTTAAATTTTTCTTGTTTATTTTAATAAAACTAATTAAAAATAATATTTCTTAAATAGCAAAATAATTGTTATTTAGTTTAAGTAAGAGCGAATAACGTACATATATCAATTGCATCTGTTACGATTCCGTTTTCCATACATTTTCCATTTTATATTAAGAATATAATGTTTACAGCACTTTATTAAGAATATAATGTTTACAGCACTCTTATTCAAATCAAGTAGCTAATAGTAGATGCGCATTTATTGTATGTAAATTATTGTATTGTACATGGTTCAATTTTTTTATAAACACAAAATATTTCCAATTTTATTTTAAATTGAAATAAAAAGAAATTCAAAAGTAGAAGAATAATATTAAAAAAACAACATTGACATTGACAGTATTTTGAGTCGCCATCTATAGTTTTATAGTAATATATTTACATATATTCAAAAATAACATACATAATACATATCAAATTTGTATAAATATAACAAAAACAAAATAAAAAATTGTGTTTTGAATCTCCTGAAGAAGAAAACACAAAATGTGTGCAGCACAGTGTACAAAAGAATTTTATTGTTCCATAACACAAAGTATCATACATACTTTACCTACATTATGTACAATATACATATATTTTATACTACGTAAATATAGAATTCACAAAGTTCTACATTACACTTAATTTAAGATAATTTGAAGAGTGACATGTTAATAACAATGCAATAATGCTTCAAAAAAAAAATTCTTAATAAAGCCCAAATAATAACAATGCGTTGTCCAATTAAGAGGTAGGAATATACATACATACCCTAAAAAATTTTGGAGAATGCATTATATTTTGACAAGTATAAAATTTGATAGACACCCTTCTTTCAGTGTATACATAGTTTGTAAGAATAAGAAAATTTTTCTAAATTTACTACAAAATTTTAATTAAAATAATTTGGATTTGCTTGCATTGACTAAAAAATATAAAAGAATCCATTTACATTTTCTTATTTGTATTTGCAGATGCATTTATCATACAATTTAAATTCATTAATATGCACAGAAATCATATATAAAATATAAAATTAATCATTTATATTAATAAACGCAATGCAATTTATAAATTAATATGTTTATCATAAGCATATTTTCGAAATAAATAGCTATTAGATATACATACTATAGGTATGGGTACATATATGTATATGTAAAAATGAGTCAAAATATTTTTCATTCAAAAAATAAATACTAAGCATAAATAAATTTTAGGTAGTATAAATTGCAAATACAAAAAAAATTAGCAATTGTATTGTAATTTCATTGATAATAAAAAATTATATATCTAAACAATTCAGATATTGTAAAATGAGCCCAGGTTAGTATAAGGATTCCGTGCAAAGAGAGCGATTCTCATTTATTAACCAAACCAGTGCATGTGCTATTAATATAACCACGTTAAATAGATAATTTTAATAATATCGTATAAAAGCAAAAATGATCTTATATTCTAATAATTAATTTAATTGGGGACTCAATTATTAATTATTTTCTGTCCAAATATTTCCAATGAGAATTTTTTGTATTTCCTGTTATCACAGAGTTCTTTCACAATAGTCTTTATTTTCATTTTAAGCCTCTTTATTATTGTTTTCAATAAATCTATATTTATAATTCTTATTCATACATATATATATTTTAGTTAATGACTATAGATAATTGATGAGTAACGCAAAATAATTTAATAAGAATCTTGTTGGTACACAAAGAACTTTCATCTTTCGACAAATGAAAACAAAACATTAAATAACAACATGAATACAAGGAATTTTTTAAAAATAAAATTACATTCATACATATTTATTATTACTTCCTAACATAATATTAAAAATATTGTTATATATCTACATTATGTATCTACATAATGTAGATATATATAAAATATCTACGTAATTATTTTTTTTTTGTTTCTGTTGCATCGCAATAAATATAAATAATAAGTATGTATAAGAACATACTCAAATGTTTTTAATAAATTTATTTTCTGGATTTATATATGTATAAATATTTTGGAATTACCACGTTCCCATAGAATTTGATTAAAACACTTATATATCTATATGAATTACATACAAGATGTACATAGATATTTATTGCTACATTCACTAAATATCAATAAAATTAAAGTATAATGCACTTACTTCTATGGCCTCAAAACTACTACCCGTTTTTAACAAAATATGTACATACATACATAAATGTTATTAATTGCATATAAGAAAATTTATATAAAAACTTTTTTTTTAATAATAATTTGAGAATTTTCGAAAAACTGTGCACACATTTTGTAAATAAAAAGAATAGGCAATATTATTGTATGCGAAATTTTATAAAATTGAGCTTTAAGTCACAAAATTGACATTATATTAATACAATGTACAGTTGATTTAGGCAAAATACTGTAATATACCACAATATCGTAAATTGTATGGATCCCATCAGCATCTGTTCCATTTTTGAAACATAAAACTATTTAATATTTTACTTCCACAATAGGACGCCAAATAATAATAAATATTTGAACTTATAAACTACATACATACACTCATACTTACAAATTAAAGTCCCCAATTCTTTTGCAGTTGGTTCATCATCTATACCAACTAATTTATAAACTGGTTCTAAAATGCTTGTCTGTTTTTTATATCCATTACGATAATTACGTGGTGATTGTGTTTGTATACTTGTTGCAGTATCATTAGGTGATACTGTTGTTGCAACATTTATACCGTTAGAATTATTTAATTTATCTTCTGTCATTTTAAAAAATTTAAAAAATTTTTTCCTATTTTTTTGATTTTATTTAATAATTATTTGAATTATTTTAATTGTTTTGTATTTTCCTTTTTTAAAAATCTTAACCTAATATTTGAAAAAAAAAAAACAAAGCAAAAATTAAAATAAAATTATTGCGAACTTTTATTTTTATATTTATGTATGTATGAAAGTATTTTGACTCCGCAAATTCTTCACGACGGTAGAAAATTGAAATTAAAATAATAATGACAGAGTCAACGTATACAAAAGATATTTTCGCCTTTAAAATTGATTTTCTTTTTAATTATTTTTTTTATTTTGCATTTATTTTTGCATTCCATAAAATAATTTTCTTTTTAAAAACATTATTCTTAAATTTTTTTTAAATTATTTTAAAATTTTTATTATTTATTTTATTTGCCTTTTTATGATTTTTTGTTTTTTTTGTTTGATTTTTGCACTTTTCAAATTGACAACATCAAAAACAAAATGACATTCAATCAAATTGAAACTAAAGGAAAATCTCTTAAGTGTTTTTTTTTTTTATTTTTTTTTTATATTTTTTTTTTTCAATTTTCTTTCAATTTGAATTCAACACGAGACGATCTGTTCGGATCGAGAGTCAGTGATAAGACTGAAAAATCAAATAAAAATATGTAATTTTTTAAATATAGAAACTTCAGCTGAGTGTTTAAATATTATTGCAGAAAAACAAAAAAAAAAAAAAAAATAAAGAAAAATATTCAAGATTCACAAATCACAAATATTATTTTATTACACTTTTTTGGATTTATTTTTTCTTTTATTTTAATTTCTTATCACTTGGAAATATGTGTAGGTACACATATAAAATATAAGTATGTATAACAAAATTTGTTATTTTCTTTTATAAAATTTTTAAAAATAAGAATAGAAGATCTCTTATAAATATGTAAATATGTATCTATATATATATGTAAATTTATGTATGTTTGTATACAAATGTATCAAATTATATACATGATTATTATTATTCCTCCTTTTGTGGTTTTTTTTTATATTTATTTACATTTATTCCAGAAGTTGTTACACACTTTCAAGAAAAATTATCAGTGAAAAAAAAAATAAATAAAAAAAAATCCAAAACACATTTTGGCCTCTTAATCACTGATAAGAATAAATTTTAAAGTTAAAATACATTAAGAGACAAAAATAAAAATTTGTAAAAAACAAAAATGAAACAAAGCGAAAAAGTAAGTAGAAGAAAAACTTTTATTTGTTTACAAAATGTGAGAAAACCCCAACTAACTGACATGACAACAATTGACCCAGCTAACTTTAAGATAAATGATCATGATAAAATTATCTTGTGTACCTAATTCTAATTTATTTTCTAATCGATGTTTTATTTTTCCTTCTAAAATTACTCATTTTTTCTCAAATTATCGAGTGAATGTTTCACTTTCAAAAACAAAGTGAAAAACTTTGTACACAATTTAAAAAAAAAAACGAGATACGCAATCGGAATAATTCTTCTTCTCGCTCGAAAATTACATTATGCAAGTATATATTAGTTACTCACTTTCTTCTCATTTTCCGAGTAAAATAACGTGATAGACGATCAGGCACTATGTACATGTAATACGTGCTGAAAAAAGACACATTTCACAGATACTCATATATTATTTTGACATTTTAAACTTTGATAAAATTATTTCTATTATCTTCGTTTTTAAAAGCAGAAATCTGAGAAATTGAATTTCAGCAGAAACTCTTCAGATTAAATCTCTGATTTATAAAAAATTAAAACACCCATTCATTGTTAAACATTTCCATAAAGTATTCGCATTGTTTATAAAAATATTGGATTATTCGAGACAAGAACCCAATCTCATAATGATTATAAATAAATCATAAATAAACAATGTAAGATTCCAATAGTCTATCTCAATGAAATTAATTATAAATACCAATTTTTTTGAGATTATTAATTCAACAATAGGTTACCATTATTGTGAATTTTATTTAATAATCAAAATTATTGAAAGAATTGAGTGGAAAATGTAAATATTTTTTCTTGGCACTTAATGTATTTGTTTATTTTTTTTTATAATTCTAAAATGCAAAATAAATATTATTTTTTCTTTCTGATTATTAATTGTATTTTTATTTTAATATAAAATGTGCTATAATTATTTTTTTTTAAATAATAGTTTTGAAAGACTCATTGACATATTCTTTATATTACTTGACATGTTTTTGATTTATTAATTTTTTTTTGCTTTGGTTTTTTCCTTTAATTATTCCAATATTCTTTTATTATTTTTTTAATGTTATGCTTCGTATGCCAGCTTATGTACATAAAAGTATATTGTAGCCCTCAACTTATTAATTTTAGTTTAATAAAATGTTCACATAAAAATTATGTATATTTAAAAAAATCAAAATTATCAACGTGTGTTTTCATTTTCATATCACAATTACTTTTTAACAGAAAAAAAAAGAAAAAATGATTTCTTGTGGACTCTGAACTTGTGGATACTTTTTGGATTTTTAATCAAAAAACATACATATGCACATATTAAGAGTGACCGATCATTCATTGAAAGATCGCAAAAACATCATGTTTTGTATATAGGTATGCGAATAAAATTGTATTACTTTCTTTTTATATACTTTAATTTTTGATGACTTGCCAATTTTTCTTTTTTTTTTGAAAATTTCTGTTTTACTAGATGGAAAAAGCTTTTCTACATTTTATATTTTTAATTTCTTGTTTATATTTATTCATTTTGTTACTGAATATAGGATTTTGTTTTTCATTCGCATTTTATTTTACAGGAAGCAAAAAACCTCATAAAAAATATAATAATTTAAAATTCACTTACCTTGACTGAGTACCATTGAAAAATTTCATAATAAAACAAAAGAAACAGGAATAAGAATTTATTATTAAGTGCAAATAATAAAGATTATAATTGGGAAAATTGAAAATATTGTGAACAAAAATAAATTATAATTGTTTTTTAATTATTTTCAAAAAATTTTCAACTTTATTGTGAGCGTTCTTTGTATATTGCAAATTGTAGGAGAAATATTTAAATAAAAGAATTTTTAATATTGCAATTTAAGAATTACAATATATTCACACTAATTTTCAACTAAATCAAAAGCTATTGGTATTCTTATATATGTACGTAAAAACTAAACTTAAAAGAATGACAATTTTATGACAAAACGTCAAACAAATTACTAATGCACATAATTACATTTTAGAAACATTGAACTGTTATAATCAAAAATACAACATTGTTTATGATTATTACAATTAAGAACCCTATTTAAATCCCATTTGGAACTAAAAATTCAAAATTTAAACTTTTATATATTAATTTTTAAAATAATAATTTGATTCTATTAGATGTAATGTACATGTATGTAACATTTGTATGTGCTATATGTTTATATTTCATTTAATAATTTTATAAATGAAAACGTAGCAAATACAATATGTATACCCATATGTATAAATTTTATTTCATGTATAATATAGCATATTCTGTTCCCCGTGGTCAATGAATGATCAAACTATAATTAATTAATTAAGGTTATATCAGATTAATTTGTACACATACATAAATATAATTAAATACATTCACAAGTATAACGAAATTTTAATTATCAAATCTCTACATAAATATATAAAAAAAAATTTATAGATTATAACACTTTTTAAATATAGTATAAAACTAGTATAACAAAATTTTTTTATATTTTAATATTATTTATTTAAAATATTAAAAAGTTTTAAATTATTTTTACAACACATATTATTACAACTATCCCTTCCAATTTTTTTTATACGTATGAATGTGTTGTATGTGTTTACATACAAGTATAACAAAAATATCAAATTTTTTAAATTCATATTTAAATTTCAAAGACCTCACTTAGAGGAATAATAAAAAATGTGTGTAGGTATGTAAAATTTTTGTTTAATTTTTTCTATATTATTATACCATAATTTTATTATTTGATAATTAGTCTTATTATTTCTATTAACAAATTATATACAGAAAATTATAACTATGCATGTATGTGAGTTATAATGAAAAAATCGCATAAGTACTTATATATGTAAATATACAAAAGTATATGAGAATATTACAATTGATTTGAAAGAAATAATTAAAATTATTTTTTAATTTTTATTATACAAGAAACTATGGTTTATAAAGGAATATAATATTAAAAAATTACAAAATATGAATCGTCGCTACACAAAAGAGAATAGTACTTATAAAAATCATTATTGAAAAAATTTTACTAAAAAGAAAATTAATCACATTGAAAAATCAAAAAATATATATTAAAATAATTTGTAATTTGTATATGTAGATATCGTTACTAAACAAATTGTGGGTATTTTATTAATTTCATATTGGAATTAATCAAAGAAAATTTTTAAACACATGTGTTATGTATGCATACCTGTGCACCAAGCCCAAGTCACTTCATTTTCCTTAATTTATAATAAATTATTTGTAAAATGATACTGTGATGTAGATCTTATGGTCTTTTTTCAATTATTTTTGTGACTCCAGCATCATAATATTTATTTATAAAAGAAAAGCAAATGATTAATTTGGTCACGGCTTAATTTTAATAAATATTAATATAACATGTATTGAATTTTGTGAATAACTAATTGTCAAAAATAAAAGTAAAAACAGAGTATTACAAAAAGTAGGTTTTGCATATACGCTAAGATAAAATTTTAAAACTCCTTATTTGATTTTATTTTTTTCTTTTTTTATTCTTAATATAACGGTAACGGTAAGATATACAGTTATTGTTATTATTAAAAACTAGATTTTGATAGACTCATTGTCACTTTCGTAGCTCAATTTAGGTATTAATGGTGGTTGCGTAAATAGAAATTCCTATACAATAATATTAATATACTTAGCGATCACAGCGACATCTTAATATGTACATAATCGGTATTTCATAAAGATTTGAATCTTTTTTTTTTTAATGAAAAATTTAATATGAAGAATATTAAATTGGAAAAACTCTATAGCTGTTAATTATTAAATATACTGGGAAATATGAATTGAATTTAAAAAAAAAAAAACATTTTAAATTACTCAAACTATATAATAAACCATAAATTCTCTTTATGGAAAATTTCAAATCCGCCAATTTTTTTTTTTTTGTAAACAATTTCTGTTATATCTCTGTATTTGAGAAATGTCATTCATAAAAATTTTCCATATTGCGCTACCTGGGTAAATGACAGATTCAAGATATTTTAGTTCACAAACGGTTCATTGTTTTGTTTTGTTTTGCTGTTTATTCTCATTTTAGACAGCAGCTGTCACTTTTCATCAAGTTGTCAGTTTGCGCCATTTTCTTTTCCTGCTTCGAATAATTTGTTATTTTTTTACGTAAAAATATATACGTTTTTAAATAATGTTTTACTGTTTAAAATTATAAAAAAATTTACAAAATGGGTTTAGATTTTGATGCAATAGAATATATTAAAAAATTAAAAACAAAACAAGACGATCCGCCGTTTGTTTGCCCGGTAGAAAAATGTGGAAAAAATTACAAATCTGTTGTTGGATTACAATACCATTTGGTGAATTATGATCATGATAATCCTCAACCGATTACCCCATTAGTAACACCAAGTCGTAAAAAAGGACGTTCTAGAGTTAATGGTTCAACTCCTAAAACATCTGGAGACCAAAAATCTATGCCAAAAGAAGCAGTTGTTTATTGTGAAACTGAAGATATTATACAATTTCATTTTCCCGACGGCAAAAGTGTAAAAGTATCTGCTGTTGAACCTCTGCCAATCATATCACAGGAGGAATATTTAGATTTACTTGAGAAAAATGGTGCAGTTCCAACACCAGATATTCCATCAGAACCACATTTAAAATTACCAGAGGCTTCATTTAAAGAAATTGAGTTTTATAATATATGTGATGCATTACCAAGACCAAATGCCTATATTAGATTTATAGAAAAATCTGCTGAAGAACTTGATGGTGAAGTAGAATATGATGTTGATGAGGAAGATACAACTTGGTTAAGTATGGTAAATGAAAAAAGGGAAGAACAAGGATTAAATCCAGTCAGTATCGACACATTGGAACTTTTAATGGATAGATTAGAAAAAGAATCTTATTTTCAAGTAAGTATTTTTTTTGTCTTTTTTTTTCTTTTTAGTTTTTTATTAAAATTTCTTGTTTTTAGGCTGCAGCAAATGGACAGAGTGGTGCACTTGTTGATGATGATGCAATTTGTTGTATTTGCTTAGATGGCGAATGTCAAAATACTAACGTAATATTATTTTGTGACATGTGTAATCTTGCGGTTCATCAAGACTGTTATGGAGTTCCCTATATTCCAGAAGGTCAATGGCTCTGTAGAAAATGTTTACAATCACCAAGTACTCCGGTAAATTGTGTATTGTGTCCTAATACTGGTGGTGCGTTTAAACAAACCGACAGAGGTCATTGGGCTCACGTTGTTTGTGCTTTATGGATACCAGAAGTGCGATTTGCCAACACTGTGTTTCTTGAACCAATAGGTAAAAATAATATGAACCACTTAACATAATCACATATAATTTCATTTTTTAGATTCGATTGAAATGATTCCCCCGGCCCGATGGCGACTTACATGTTATGTGTGTAAAGAGAAAGGCATAGGGGCCTGCATTCAATGTCAAAGGAATAGTTGTTATGCAGCTTTTCATGTTACTTGTGCTCAACAGGCTGGACTTTATATGCATATGGACACTGTTAAAGATCATAGTAACGATTCACTAAATGTAACCGTGCAAAAATCGGCTTATTGCCACGCACACACACCACCCGAAGCAAAATTACGTAAAGATAAAGATGAAGAAGAACCGGACACGAGGCATAAAATGAAAAAAGCGAGAGAAGTTCTGGCGAAAAAACGCTCTACTGCGCCTGTTGTTTTAATACCAACTATTCCACCAGATCGTGTTCAAGAAATTTCTAGCCTAGTAACTATTCAAAAGAAAACTCAATTTATAACAAAATTAATAGCGTATTGGACGTTAAAACGTCATTATAGAAATGGTGTTCCTTTATTAAGGCGACTTCAAAGTCAAGGACAAAACCATGGCGGTTTCAATCGTAGTAACTACGATAGTAAGTTTAAATTAACTTTTTAAATTTTTATATTTTCTCAATATGTGTACACTTTTAGGGAATACTTCAAATGCAACAGAACTTTACCAACAATTAAAATATTGGCAATGTTTGAGGCAAGATTTGGAGAGAGCTAGGTTATTATGTGAATTAGTACGCAAAAGGGAAAAACTTAAAGTTACATATACAAAATTACATGAGCAAGTTGTAATGCTTCAAATAAATCCTATAGAATCAGCCATGTTAAAATTAATGGAAAATCTTGTTTCAAAAGATACAACACAAATATTTCTCGAACCCGTTGATACTACAGAAGTGCCAGATTATTTAGATATTGTTAAAACTCCAATGGATTTGGGCACAATGAAAGAAAAACTACTTGAAGGAAAATATTACACCTTAGATGACATGGAATCAGACTTTGATTTAATGATAAAAAATTGTTTAGCCTATAATAACAAAGATACGATTTTTTATCGTGCCGGCATCCGGATGCGAGATCAATGTGGTCCATTATTTAAACAAGTACGAACTGAACTAGCTGAACAAGGCTTAATAGATCCACCAAAAACCGATGATCTAATAGCCCAAGAAATAGATAATGAGTTAAAGCAAGTTTTAAAAATTCAACCCCAAACCGAAAATGAAATTCAAAAATTGTTAATATTAGTTGATCAGTCTCAAGTTATTAAAAATCCGAGTCATAGGACTCGAAAAATTAAGCAAATTAGATTAGAGATATCTAAAATGAGAAAAGCCATTCTAAAAGCAAAAATGGCAGCGGTAAAGTTATTTGAAATTTAATTTGAGTTTGTATTTGATTGTTTTTATTTCGTTTTTAGAGAAAAGTTGCTAAAGATAAACTAGTGAATGGAAACGAATCATCACAAGATGAAGAAGTTGAAGGAGAACCAAAAAACGACATTCCCACAGCGACGCCACCGTGTAGCCCTTTGAAAAATGCATGTAATAGTGCTTCTCCATCTGGTGTTAATAGAAGGTTAGATGTTAATATATTTTTATTGTCTTTTTTTTTGTTTAACTCAAAATAATTTGACAGGACGGCGGTTTTATTTACACGGAAAGCTCAAGCTGTGTCGAAAAAGCCTGAAATAGCTTTAAAAGAAGAATCATCTTGTGAAACACCAGTTGCTGCATTAGAAAAAATCAAATCGCCTAAGAGGCCAGGAAAAAAGCGTTTATCGAATGATAAACCTAGATCTAGTCCTTCTGGGAATACTGTTTTGCAAAATGGTATTAGTCCAAAAAAATCCCCACAAAAAGAATATATAGAAGCAATGCCAGATAGCTTTCGCGTTTATAGAGCCAATGCAAATAAAGAAATTTCTGAAACAGAAGACAGTGATTTAAGTGACCTCTCTGGTAGTCCGTGCAGTAGTTGCTCGGGTTTTGGTGTCAGTGGGTCAGATTTAGAATTTTATACTAGTTCAGATGATGATGGAACATATTCAGAGACTGATGAAGAATGCGAAGAAGAAGAAGAGGAAACATCACAGAGTATAAATGAAAATGATACAATAGATAATAATAGGCAAAATTCAAATACACCATCAATATTACAAAATAATAATACAGAGACATCAAATACAAATGATGCCAGTGAAAAAGAACAAATTGTAATTGAAAAACCTCCATTAGAACCATTACAATTAGTTTGGGCAAAATGTCGTGGTTATCCATGGTATCCAGCACTAATAATAGATCCAGCAACACCAAAAGGTTTTGTTTATAATGGTGTACCATTACCAGCGCCTCCTCAAGATGTCTTAAATCTACGAAAAAATTATGAAGAAGAAGTATTTTTAGTTTTATTTTTTGATGTTAAAAGAACTTGGCAATGGTTACCAAATAATAAATTAGAAATTTTAGGTATAGATAAAGATCTTGATCAATCAAAATTAGTAGAATCTAAAAAACCACAAGAACGTAAAGCTGTTAAAAAAGCTTATGCAGATGCGTTATTATATCAGAGTCAAGTAACTGATTTAGAAGGACAAGGTCCTGATCCGATTATGTAAAAGAGAAAAAAACAAAAACACTTGTTTTTTTTTTAATTTTAATTAGGATCACCTCTGTAAATTATCTTTATTAATTTTATTAAATTTTTTTTTTTTTTTATTACTTTTCATAATAAATATGTGAATCTATGTATATGTATAATTAAAATGTATGTATGTGTATATATATAATATATATATATACATTTATACATTTATAAAATTTAAGTTATAATGTTAAAAACGTTTTTTTATTGTATTTTTTTTTTTAATATTATTTTTGAAAATTATTGGATTTTTTTTTTTTTTACTCGATTCATGTTTAATTTTTTATTTTATTATCGTTATAAATTTCCTAAGAACACCATATAGAAAAACATAGAAAGAGTCAATTGAAATCAAAAATACAAAAACAAAAAAAATAAACTCAATATTAAAAATATAGGACTGTATAACTATAACTAAAATAGTTTTCAATGAAATAATTATTAATTAATTTGTACTTAGGTATATAAAAATTATTTCATTTTTTTTTTTTATATATATATATAATGTAGCGTACTATTGTTTATTTACAAAAATACGAGAATTTCCCTTTTTCCTCCTATTATTATTCAACAATCAATAAATATTAAGAAAATTATAAGAAAACGAAAATATTTTAAAATAACAAATGCAAAATAAATAATATTGTTTTAAAATAATTTTGTTCCTAGATATTGAAAAATCAAATAAGTATAAAGATTCTATACAGGTTTATTTCAAAATAGTATCACTATAAAACAAATTAGAAAATTAAATTAATTCTTTAATCCCACGTAAATGGATGAATTTTTCCTAAATTATCATAAATTTTATATAAAAACATGCATATGTCCGAACTGTACACAGCTCAATAATTTCCTGTACACAAAAAATAGTTGCTTTTTTCATCTTATGTTCTTATTTAATAGGGAAATACTCTCTAATTTCAGGCTTCGTACAACAATATTGTGCCTTAATTTCATTTTGTTTAAATTTTTTTTTATAAAAAATTAACTTTTCTTAATTATAATCAAATAAAATTATATATTATAGAGAAGTTCGCTACAATGTCTGAATCTTAAATTAAACTTCTAATTTTAATTAATTTAAAAAATTCACTTCTGTTTTTCATTCATTATTATTTTCTTTTATTTTAACATTGAGGTGACATAGTCGAGAAATTTACAAAACAAATTTTAATAAAATTTTTCAAAATTATTTTAAATTCTATATGTAAAAATAAAAAAAAAAAACAAAATCAAAAATATAGCAATAGAAAATTAATTGTTTATGTTAAAAATAGTACGTAATTCAAAAAAAAAAAAAAAAAGAGAAGTAAATTTTTAAAATTAAATAAAAATGTGATGTTACAAAATATTAAGAAAATTTTCCTATCTTTTTCTATTTTCTACTTTTAAAAACTAACAACAAAACTTAAATATCATTTTTTTTTTGTTTTTTGTTTGCACAACAAAATTTTATTGGAGAGACTTATTAAAAATTAAATAATTTATTTAGTAATTACAATAGATAAAGTAAAGAATTGTAAAATTATGTAAAATTCAAGAAAAATAAAAAAAAATTCAACATTTTACTATTTTAAAAATTACATATTGATGTGATTTGATTTTGAATTGAAATAAAATGAAAAAAGAAATAGAAAATAAAATAAAATATGTGTAAAAAATATTTGAAGATAAAAAAGTAAAAAACAAATATGTACATGACTCGAATATTAAAAAAAAAAAAAAAAAATGAAATAAATAATAATTATAAGTATTTAAAAATTAAATTTAATAAGATTTTAATTTTAAATTAATTATTTGTTTCAGAAATTTTAAAAGCCTCGAATCTGAAGGACTTATTACCCTTACATCTACTACACATATTAGTTAAACATGTTGTAAATTTTAGGCCACTGACAACAGATATGAAATTAAATTATTTCTTGGTTTAACCATTTTGAGAAAGAAATATTTAGGCGTAATTAAGTAATTTATGCTGGCTTCACAACCATTTTGCAAATAATTATTGCTATTTATTTGATAAAAATGTTAATGTTTTTAATAATAAGAAATTTTTGATAGATTATTAAAATTAATAATAATTTTTATTGTTGCCTCATATACATAAGTATTACATTTATTAAATTTTTAGTTAATTCTGGTCTAATTTTATTGGAATAATAATGGGGACCATGAAATTTGAAGGAAATCAAATCATAAACATCCTTTAGAAATCCTTTAAAGGTAAAATACGAGTGCACTTATATTCATTGAATTTATATAGAACATAGAAAAGTTTTATTAGTTTTCATAGAATTAGACTATTTATTTTTAATAACAAATAAATTATTTTATGATTTTGCTCATGATTTACTCAATTCGATAATTAAATTTAAATAATCTACATTTAATTAATAAAATTTAGGCTGATTTTTTTTTTCAATTTAATTGAAGTTTTTCCTTTACTTACCATTTACTTAATTTAAATCCCAAAAAAAAACTAAAAAGTAAATAAAATTATATAAAATTAATTTCATTATATAACAATTTTTGACTTTATTTATTTATTATTTTATTTTTTTTTTTCATTTAATTTACATTCGTATGAGTAAATTTTATTTATTTTTAATAAAATTCTAAATCCTTAAATTAAAGTAATTTTTATTTTTGATTAGTTTACTTTTTTATAATTAAATAATTATTTTTATATTTATTAATTTCATTATGATTCTTTTTTTATATATATATATATATTATTTTTTTTAATAATTTCTTTGAAAAGTTTTTATATGCGTTTTATGTTCATATACAAAAATATTTCATGAAACAATTAGATTGCAATAATCTGAATTATAAAGTTGATTTATTTAAATTTAATTAAAGAATTTTAATTAAAAAGTCAAAATGCAATTCAATATTAAAATCATGATTTTGTTGGAAAAATTAAAAGTAATTGAAACCTTTCAATATAAAATGGAAGGGGTCACAAATTATGTATTTATAAAATTTCATATTTTAATAATACAAATAAATTTTATATTTATTTAATTAACATTTATGAAAATTAGTTTTCGTTCTAAAAAATAATCTGGAAGAGGCCATTTAAACTTCTTAAAATTTATTCTTACAATATTATAGAAATATTTTGGTTTCTATTCGAAAAATTACAGGAGCTTTAAAAATATTTAAAAAAAACAATTTTTTTTTTGTTATGTATGTATGTTTTTCTAAATGAACAATATAGTTTAATTCCAAAATTTTGAATGATGCTTCAATTACAAATTTAATTTTTAAAAATGCACTTGTACACGATAATTAAAATACAGTTTAATCAGTTGAGATAAGTTTTAAGATCTCAGAAATGATAATAAATTTATTTTATTAGGTTTAAATGGATGGCTTTAATGAAAATATGCTATAATATTCTGGGGAATTAGAAATACTGTTTAATAATATTATTTTGAGTTTATAATCCAATTATTATACTGAAAATCATACAATAATCATTATTATTTTCAATATTCTAGATATATTAGGTCTAAATTTAATTTAAATTTTTTTTTTATTGAATTATTGCAAGCCCTGTTTACAATTTTTTAAACTCATATTTTTATAATCTTCTTCTTCTTTTCTTTAATATTTTATTAATATAATATTTTAAACTTATAATTTAATTTAATACATACTTACATATTATATCTTTACTATATTATATACACATACATATTATGTGTATATAAAATTAATAACTAATATATTATAACTAATAATAAATTATTTACAATATTTATCAATCAGTTCCATAATTAATATCTATATTTTTTTCAATAATGCTATTTAATAGAAGTTTCATAGGCCATAAAGAAAATTCGACTTGGCCTTTATACAATTATAAAATGTATTTAAATATATATGTATACATATATATTAAAGAATAAATATCATAATATTAATATTTTTTATAAAAAGAATGGAAAAAAAGGGATTTGACTTTTTATATAATAATAAATTAATATTACTATACATAATATTTAATATGTTTATGAATTTTATATATTTATAAAGGAAATTTTGGGAAATTATTTGCATTAAAAAAAAAAAAAAAATCCTAAAAAATGGCCATAATACATCTATCATTTCATATAATATGTTGATGCCGGCGTCCTTGATGACGTGTACGTACTCATTGGTATTCCTTGTGGTCCAGACGTTGTATTATGATGAACTGATAAATTATTATTTGATATTGAAGTTGTTGTTGTACCACCATATAAATCACATCCAGATGGTTCATATTCAACATCATAATAAATTCCAGATTGATTCTAAAATTTTAATTATAAAATTATTAATTTAATTGTAAAATTATAATTAATACATATACATTTGTATATGTATTAAATTTTTAAATGATTTACCGTTATGCTACCATTACTACGACTTTTTGGTCTTGGTACATGAAAATTTCTACCTAATAAATCTGTTCTATCTTCTTCTTCACTTGAACTTGAATTTTCTAATGTTCTCATACCATTCGATCTATGCTGAATACCAAGTCTTCTATATTGTTAATGATAAATAAATAAAAATAATTAATATAATATCGTAAACAGTATAGGTGTACGTTAACATTTAACAAATATAATATATAAGGAAAAATATTATTTTTAAAAATGAATCGAAATTAAAACTGTGAAACCTTCAAGAATTCTAAGCAAAAATCAATTAATGTATACCTTGGCAATGGAACTGGTGGTTGCAGTTGTGTTCCACTTGAATGATGTATTGGTAAAGCTGTTGGTCCAACTGGTACTTAAAATAATAAAATAAATATTATAGTAATTATAATAACATGGTTTGTAATTCCATTTTTTATATACCTAAAGTTCCCATACCCATTGCTTGCAAATTTGGATATCCAAACATTGCTGAAGATGGTCTAGTGCTATTCGCTACAGGTTCACTCTTAAATCAAAAAACATAAAACATAAAGAATTAAATTAATTAAATAATTGCTTTCATTATTCACCCCATAATGATTTGATTGAGCAATAACATCTGCTATTTGTGCCCATCTCATTCTATCCTCTAATGTAACTTGATATGCTGGATGTCCTAAACCAGAACCATTTTTTACAATTGGTGCTGTATTCATATAACCGAATACAGGTGATCCAATAGCATTTTTTTGTTCTCGTCTCCATCTTCTTGACCACATTATTAAACAAACTAATGTAAATACAATAATTATAACAGCTGCAACTGATGCACCAATTGCTACACCTAAAACTTCTCCATCAATTTCACATTGTGAACCATAAAAATTTCCTTCACATGTACAAATTTGTAAACCATCCATATCATAATTACATGTACCACGATTATTACAATGTGAATCAGGACATGTTTGACATTCTTTACCAGCTCTTTGCGGTTGATCTGACCATGGATCTCGAAATCCTTTATTGCATTGACATCGAAAACTACCCCAAATATTTGTACATTGTGCATTCCGATGACAATCATTTAATTCTTGTGATTGACATTCATCTAAATCTTGTAAATTTGATATAGAACCCGGTGGTGATTCAACATATAAAACAGAATTTCCAATATTATTATTTCGACGATGAATGACTCCTAACAGATGTTTTTGAACATCACTGCGTAAAGTTGGTCTAAGTGTTTCAGAATTTTCTTCCAACTAAAAATAAACAAGAGGATAGTTTTGAGTTTGAAAATCATAAATTGTAAAGCTTTGTTAAACTAACCTTCATAGTTAAATTTACAAACACACCAGCCGCTCCACGACTAGGATCTCCTTGGTAAATATTATTGACTTTTGCTTCCATAAACTCATCTGAGAATGGGGTCATTGACATCGCCGAATCAATCTGTAAATTTAATTAAGTTTTATATCAATTTTGGTGATTGGTAAGTGTTATACGTAATTTGTTTAATAAAAATTAAGTAAAATAAAATTTTATGCTTACTGCTCTTATAGATTCATAACTTAATTGCCCAAAATGTTCGCTATTCTTATCTCGTAATTTTTCATCCCACACTATTCGACGCTCATATATTCTGTCAACTCTTAGGCTCAAAAAGAATGATACAACACGCCTGCAGGGTTCTCGATGCTTTCTTCTAGAGTATCCTATAATAAGAAATCAATAAAAATTAATATTGTGAAAGAAATTGTGATTTTTTCGCCCTCAAAACAAAAATTACTAAACAATAAAGCAAAATTATTTTTTTGTTAGACCAATTCAAGCGAATGTGTTAGCTCCAAGACTTGATGATAAAATAAGCAAATATTTTAATAACCAATGATGAAAAAAGAATAAAGCGTGTCGACAATTATAATGCAAAATTAGTAAAATATTTATATGAATATGCACGAATGTGTGAAGAAAAATAACATGGAATATGAATAGAATTTTAAACATACCCGGCCTGCAGTGGCAGCTGGAGACTCCATTTTCAGTCCTACATCTCTCGTTTTGTGCTTGGTCACATGTAGAATCATCACCAACAATACATGTATCTATTCGAACAGGTGGTTGGGTTGTTCGTGGCCTATAATGCGGTCGTTGATTTATGCCGGTTACACCAAGGCCGCCGTTATTACCCTGTATACTATTAGTTCGTTGTGGAATTTTAGAGAGTTGAGGTTTAATTGGTGTTAAATCGGGTTCAACATATCCAATACCAAGTGATGGTTGTTGATCATGTTGATTTGATGATCCCGGTGAATTATTTTTATGTTGACTGTTAGATACATGCGGATGATGATGTGTTATACCTGGTGGTGATACTGATGGTTGTATACTAGTTGTTTCGGATGCTGGTGTTGGTACAGATGGTGCATCTGTAGGTTCACCAAACAGATTTATATAAGTTCGTTTACCATCAATTGAGACAAAACCTTGATCACCTGATGGTGAAATTATAATGTCATCATTACCGATATTAATTGGATATCCAACGACGTCATTTTGGTTATGATTACTATTTGCACCTCCTCCATATGGTTTTATGTTAATAGTTTGTTTGGACCCACTTGCTCCATTTCCAGGTCCTTGAATTGCCGATAAAGTTACATCGAATATTTCTCCATAGCCAGGAAGTAAATGTTGACGAGTTGGTTGAATCTGAGGTCTATTATAATTAGATGGCCGTACTATACCACCAGGTTTAAATTCTGGATCATCTAATACAATACCAGGACGAGGATGATAGGAGGATGATAAATTTGTAGGTATATGTGTTGAGGAGGGCTTTATTATTGATGGGGTTGATGGTAAAATTGAAGAGGAGGTGGGAAGAGAAGAACTTTCAGTGGCCGATAATTCTTTAGTTACAAAAACAGTGGTTTCTGGAGTATGCTTTGTTGTGTCTGGTATTGAGGAAGACGTAGTAGTATAATCAGATTCATCGAGGGAAGAAGTTCGCATTGATGTTATGAAAAGAATATCATCAGACATGCTGCCCTCAATATAGACATTCTCATTGGTTGAATGATCTATATTAATAGTAGAACTTGTAACTTGAGGGATGCTTGTTACTGTGGTTGGTTGTAAAGTTGATGCTTTATCTTCATCAATATCCACTAACGTTGTTTCTCTTGATTCTTCGGTTGTAGACATTTCCTCATGTAGATTAGGTTGACTATTTGGATAATTTGGTTTTTTCTGAGATAATTCTTCTTCCTCATATGTTGGTGTCATCATCGCATTAATCGATTCATTTTCAATATTTCCCGATTCTATAGCAGCAGATGCATTTATTGAATTATCAGATTCTTCTGCACCTTCTAATTCATCAGATGGACCATTTTTATTATCATAAGAATCTGTTGCCGATACATCAAGGGTATCATTAGTTTTATCTAAATTAATTGTTGTGTAAGCTGGTCCAGCTCCAGTAGGTGGTGGCGGTGAAGCATCTGTATTATATGTTTCGTCTTTCATTAAGCCTGGAATATGTTGAGTTCCACCTGGTCTTCGATTTTTATTATTACCATTATTAATTGGTGGTGGTCTTGGTCTCGGTCTTTGCCATGGATTTCTATTTGGATTGATAAAACCGGATGGTCTATTATTTGAATTTGGTGAAACTGGAACAATTTGTTCTGGTATTGGAATACCATTTAAAAATGGACGAGCTGGATTATCAAATGAAAATGGTGGTAACATTGATGAACCAATTGGTGGTTTTTGTATATCATAATCAATCGGTAAAGGTTGTGCTTCTGATATTCTTGGTGGTCCACGATTATTTATTCTACTAGCGACTGGTCTTCTATGAACCTGTGTATTAGCGTGTACATTAACATTTCCATTTAATAATTTAACAATTCCCGTTATTATATCCTGAATATCTGGATTTTGATTTTGTCTTGGTTTAATTGGTGCATCTACACCAGTAAAACTATTTGCTGGCAATGTAAATGATGATGGTATTGCTTTAGTTGGCAAAACAATATCCGATGTCTGCATAACATTGTTCGGTATTAATTGGGACCCCGATGTTCGTGATCGAAGGTCCCTTATCCCTAAAAAAGGATTTGTACCTTCAATATTTTTTCCCATTCGATGTGTTTTAGAAATTTCATTAATATTTTCTTGAGCTTTTGCTACGGTAGATGTTGGTTTAATTAAATTAATATATCGTCCTTGATTAATACCATTTGGACTAATATTATCTTTAACTTTATCAATATCTAATTTTGATTTTGATTCATTTTCATTTAAAATTGGTAATGCTGATCTTTCTATTCTATGATGTTGATATTCATTATTTTCATCAATATTTTGTTTATTATCTAAATTTAATATATGAGAAGATGTTAATATTGGGCTCATATCATCATCTGAATCAAATTTATATTCATCTAAATTAGCAGATTTTGGTGATATTTGTGAAACTAATACAATTTCATTTGATGCTAAAATTAAAAAAAATATGTGAAAAAGAAACTTGAATTAGTAAAAATATAATAATAAATTGTGGTTTTATTTAATATTTTAAAATAAAAATGAATTAAAATTAAAAATTAGTTAGGTTATATGGAAGTGAAATGATGGATTTAATTCGAACCTAAATTTCAGTTCTAGATTCAGTTAAATATTTAGAAATTATGTCTGCCTTACAGAGTAAATTGAAAATTTAGTGAGAAGCAAATGAATTTATCATATTCAACAATAATTTTAATTTAGTGATCCTAACAAAATATTGTAAGATTTTATAGAACTCTATCCATGTTTTAATTATGATGAATAAAAAATTCGGCAATCATTTACCATTTATATACCATTTTTTACAAAAAATATTTTTGAAAAACTTGTCTATTTCCAGTAGCTTAATATTATCACTTGTGTAGACTCTTGACCTGTTGAATCATCAATTTGTGAAGTTTATTTCTATATTTTACACGCTAGCACTATATTGAATTCGAATTGAATACCCTGTTGGTATTTTTTGTGCTATTAATTCTTATTAAGTACTTTTCAATTTTTTTTTTATTTTTCTATTTCAATTCTTACAACACAAACAAAATTTTATAAGATTTCTGACTCTTCCCCCTCCCTTTCTCTGTGTGTTGAATAAAAATGTTCTCTAAATTCCCACTCCAAAGATTTTCAAAACACCCACAAGAAGTAAGCCTTATACAAAATTTAAGAAACATAATGATAAAAATCTTCAATAATAAAATATTTCTCGAAATTTTTTAAATACAAGAAAAGAATTGAAATAAATTTCAATCATCAGATAATTAAAAACAGAATGAACAATTTTTTAATACAATTAGTAAGCAAGTTATAAATATTTTTTTTGTAAAATGGAAAAAGAATCTATTATATCTGAATCTAAATATACTACAAATTCACTTTTAATTTTACATAGTCTTCAAATTTTCTATAGAGAAAAACTCAATTGAGATTTGTTTTTTTTTTTTAATATTCTACAAGCATTTCTTCTTTTATATATACCAATACAATTTTTTTTTATAGAAATAAGAAAACATGAAATTTATCTAATCTTTATCATTACAAAGCTCAATGTATGTGTTAGTATACATGTATATATTATATACAATATAGTATAAACATTTCTATAGTCCAGGCTAATAGAAAAAAAAAAAGTATTTGAAAATGTTTTTCTAAGTGAACGAGACAACAAAAAAAATAAAAAAAATTGAACGAAAACCAAAGAGTTCAATGCCATTTTCAGTTTAGGATACAATTAGTTACACATAATGCTTTTTACTTCGGAATCAAAGTACATATTTCACTATCTGAATTTTAAATTCATTTTGAACACAAAAACAAAAAAATCAAATATAATTTCTCAGTGGTTCAAAACAATTTTCATTTAGAGTGCATTGAGGTGCTATAATATGTCTAAGATAAAGTTAAGAATCTTGGGCTAGAGAAAATTGAAAATTTGTATGAATTTAGATTTAAATGTTTGAAAATTAAGTTGGTCAAACCATTTTAGGCTGGTCGATAAAGATAAGTGTTAATATACAAAGCTTTAAGAATATATTAAATCGTAAATATTTTTTGAACAAAATACAGGTTGCGGTAACATTAGAAGCAAAGAAAGCAGCAATAATGAGCTCAAAATATATCTAAAATGATTTTTTTTGAGTTCCTACACAATTCCTAAAAAATTCCTACGCAATTCCTACGAAATTTTAAGAAAATTTCTTCGGGTGCCAAATTCAATATGACCAAAAAAATATTATTTCATTTCTTAAACATACTTGTAATATAGTATCTAGCTAATGGCAGTTTCAAGTATGACAAAATACAAGCTGTGGTAACAATAGAAACAAAAAGTGCAGCAATAATAAGCCCCCAATGAATCTAGAATGTTTTTTTAGAGTTCCTACAGACTTCCTACAAAATTCCTACGAAATTCCTACAAAATTCTAATGAAATTTCTTCGAAAAACTAGTTTAATATCATCAAAAATATTATTTCATTTCTTACTGTTGTAATGGAACGTACCCAATGACACTTTCAAGCATAATTTTCTTATTGTAAATTATTCTATTACGTTTATACTTATAGATATTCTAGATAGTTCGAAAAGAACGCTTTATTTATTACCATAAATTTTCGCTAAATCATAAGTAAGCAACTATAGGTATTACATATAATTTAGTAGCAAACCACTGCAAATAGTTCAAATTTGTACACACATACACACACCTACATTTGATGGATGACAAGGTAAAATATAAATGTAGAATATAAACTAAAAAAGGAATTGAACGTGTTTCTTTTATATTAAGGTTTTTCAATGGTTATAGTATATACGAGTATGTATAGTATGTATAAGATAATCTCAACTATTAACAACATCACAATATTTACATATATATTATAAAAATCGTATACACCATATACAAGCATTGTACCTATGTGCATACACACCTAATACTAACATTTAATATTTTTTTATACTCTCTTTTTTCTCTTTACTTTTCTTAAATTTTTTTTTTTTACTTTAAAAATGTTTTCACTTTTCATAATAACAAAAAAAAACCAATAAAACAAATGAAAAAAAAAAAATTTCCTCCAAGTTTAATATTATTGTTAGACCGACCATGAGAAATTGAAGATACTTTTGGGTGGAAAAACGAACCATATATAAAGCTTAGTATGAAGTAGATTGGAGCTGTAACCAATCATTGAAAAGAAGGTAAAAGTTAAAGAGACTTTTTTTTTCCGATGTTCTTTTTATTGCTTTTCTTATTTCTGATTTTTTTGTGCATATGCAATAGTTGTAATGATTGTCGGTACACATACATCCATACTTACATCGATTTAATTGGAATTGAATTTTTGAAAAGATTCAAGATAAATCAAAAGTTATAAATTTGTTTTTCATTTCTGCATTTTTTTTCTGTTTGTTATTTTTAATTTATAGACAAGGTTATAATTTTGTCTTGTTTTTCTATTCCATTAGACTTGTAATGTTTGATTTCAAGAGAAAAATAAGAAAAACAACCTTGATAACACATAAAATTTATATAAGAAAAGAAAAACAATTTTCAAGATCATGTACCTACCTACCTACCTATCTACTACAATCGGGAGTAATATAAAAGTTTTAATGAAAATGCCAGTATGTTAGAATATAACAGCAATTATACTCATCTATTAAAATTTATCAAACATTTATAAATGGAGAAGAAACTCTTCGAAGAAAATTATTATTTTCTATATATATATATCAAAGGTCTAAAATAATAGATCATAAAGCTGATAATTTATGGTATAAATTGTATTCCTTGAAACTTGTTTATATATTTTAAGACTTTAAAGTCATGTTCCGTTGTACTTGCAATTAAATCTCATCTATTAAATAATAAAAATATATTGATTAAGAGGTCAATGAATTGAAAAATAAAATTATTAATTTTGTTGGACCAATAACTTGGAGTAACCTTGCGCTTCTGAAAAATAAACACATTAAGTTTATGCACACTGCACTGAAATTACTAAAACTAAAATTTCTAAGTCGCAGCGTGTTAAGCAGTGGATTTTGGTTTATTCAGTAGTATAGTCCAGTACTAGTATAGGTCCAGCTTGTAGTGTGTTTAAAAATTCACGCTACATGCACGTAAAAAATACAGATCTTACGGAAATTATACTGGCTGTAATAAAATGCGTTCGGAAATTCAATCTGTAATTAAGAAATGTTAGAAATGTATTGATGACCTCTAGTTTAAATTTCATCGATGACTCATGAAATTTTCTTTTTTTTTTTTAAATTTAAAATTCAAAATAAATTTTAGATTTCAAAATGGCAGATTCAGATATTAATTGACTATTAAATTAAGTCTTTAAATCTTGTTTAAATCTTTCCTTATTTTGCAGTGAGCTAGAGAGCGAAAAGTGTTTGAATAAAATTTCATAAACAATGTCATTTTTGTTCATTTCAATATTCTTTTTAAAAAAAACGAAATTAAAGAACTCAATCCTATATACTTTCTATTAAAAACAGCACCACACAGGTCCATTATAATTTTATTAATAAAATAATTTCTTTAATTTCCGGATATTTGAATAAAACATCAAAGCGAAATCATAATGAAAAATAATTAATATTGGAATTCAAATTTATGTCAGAATTTCATATGTTCCAAAATCGATAGAGGAAAATCTCTTTTAAATTTATAAAAGAAAATGAAGAAGAGTTTTTGTATTTTTTTTGCAAGATTTCTACAAAAATTCGCTATTCAACAATAAATTTTTTAAACCTTTGAACTTTATTTCTCTCTCCAAGATTTTTTGCTCATTTTTTTCCAAATATTATTTCCTATATAAATAAAAAATAATCTTCATCTTTAATAATCGTATAATTTCCAATATCGGAAAAAAAAAAGGGAAAGCTTCAAATTATTTAAGATTCTTGTTGTGGTACAAAATAATTTAAGTTTTACGATAACACTAGCACAACAATAATAATAATAACAATAGTAACATTTTCAACTCTGACATTTCAAAAATAAAGACCTTCAGTATATAATTATTTACATTATTAAAAATAATGAGAGAAAAAATTTATTAACAATAAATGCAAAATTATTAACAGCATGTTACTAAAATTTGCATATAATTTAAAATATTCTAAAGGCATTCTTTTTGTATTGATGTTAATGAAGTTGTTACAATAATAATAATGATGTATAAAAAATATAAAATCAAAAAATATAAAAAGTATTTAAAAGTGCAACATTCTTAACCCCAACCATAAATTATTAGTTTGATAGATCAACCATATTGAAAAATTTTTACCCGTATTCTGTTAGTCACCATCACTTGACAAGATGGGTTGTTATTCAAAAATCTTGTAATTTTCTGAGTAAAATTAATATCAAAATTTAAAATTCTATCCTGGAAATTAAAATTTTTTTTAATAATATCTCAT